GGCTGCATATAGTACACTGGCTGACAATGACAATTCAAGAACTCTGATAATATGAGTGATTTTAAAGCATCAAAAATACTTGTGTTATTTTTACTTGTTTATATTATGAGAAAGCGAGAAAAATGAAAGATCTTCACAAGCATCCTTTCACACGTTGGAGCCATGCAAGTCCTAGGAGAACAGTCAAGGAAATTTTAGCTGCCATGTACATAAATAGTGAAAATAGTGCCCCCATTCGGATCAACTACATAAAATTTTCCTCACTTCAATTAAGCAAGAAGGTCCATTTTCACAAGAACCGGGCTTCATTTTTTAAGCAAAAAACAGTGAATGCAATGAATTTAGATCCAGACTTCATTTGTTGAGATCTTCTCTTGACTTTAGCTTTTAAACTGAACAATAACTTCTTAAAAAAGGATTTTACAAAATTTGGAAAAAGAACTAAGAAAACTACAAAGCAGCGGAAATAATTTTAAATTACAAACTGAAACACAGCCAAATTATTATACAAATAAACACGTTCCATTTCATTCATTCCATCTAGAAACAGAAAAGTGTAGCTCCCGTCCAGGAAATCAATGACAATAAAGACAACAGCTTCAAAAAGGACACCTTTTTTAAGCTAGCAGTCGAACAATTCATGAAATATTAACTTCATCGATGCAAGACAAACCAGTTGAAGATACGGGAGATCACGATGAGAAGCCTCTTCAAGTTTTTTAACACTCATTAATAAGTTTAAATTTTTAAGTACGAATCGCAAGAATAGACACGCAGATAATGATACACTAACATTTTTAAAGAGAAAACAAGTAACGATGGAATGAAACTAGTTCTGCATAAAAAAAGAATCCAGAGAAATTCACCATGACGAATATCAATAAGCATTCTTGGAATACCAATAGCATTTGCTGCTTCCCCAATTGAAATCTCCATCTCTTTCCAGGTCTTCTCAACCACACCGTTTACAAGCCTTTGGGAAAGAAATGGAAAGAGGAAACAATCGTTCTTTCAGGGGCCAATACAAAAACAGAACAATGATTTAATTAAAATAAGAAAGGAATAGGAACCTCATGATCGCCATGCAATATAGCATTTCTTGTGATTGCAAAGCACCTTCACTAAAGTCATCTCTAAAATTAATCCACAATGTAAGCATGTAACCTTTTGTTTGTAGGCAAGTAAAAAATTCAATCAAAAGAATTGAAAGTCACAAAAGGAACGGGGAAATAATCCTTTTTGCTGAATTTAGACTAAAAGGAAGATATAAGAGAAGCAAAAGGACTACTCTATAAAATGGTATGAATCTTAAACAAAGAAGAATGTCAGTCTACATCTGAATTTTGTTAATGATTATATTGAAACTCAAAGAAAATAAAGAAGGAAAGATTGGATCTTCTAGCTTTTTGTTAAATTCATACTGTTAGGAAAATGTTGTAATTGGCAATCTGTGACCAAAGGACCAATTTGTCATGTTTGTAGAGTCAAGGACTAAATTGTAAAGTTCTAATAGTTCAGGGACTTGTGTTGCAATTTTGCAAAGTTTATAGCATAGGTCTAGGGTAAAGTTGGATGCTTTGAAGATGCAAACGGCGCGTTGATCTCGCTAAAGTTTCGCCCTGACCTCGCTCGAGCCTAAATAACAGAACTGTTGTCGCTAGAGTTTCGCTGAGGGGTCGCTCGAGCCAAGATGCGTCGCTCGAGTTTCGCCAGCACTTCGCTCGAGCGATAGTGCTATCTGACTTTTGGTAATTTTCCTTTCTCGCGAATTTTAAACGATCCCTACTACCAAAAACAACCTACTACAAAAACAAAAATTCCGTTTTTCATTCAAGACCTTTGGCAAATACACAAATAACAATTTCTCTCTACAACCAAAGGATCTAGAGCCAAAAATTCTTTCTTTTCATCTTATGATTCATTGAAGAAAAACATCAACCTTCACAAAATCAAAACACCATTCAAATCTCCATATCAACTTCCAGAAGATCATCTGTTTGAAAATTCGGGAAGGAAACTATTTGAAGAACTGGAGTGCTTGGTGATTCATGGGAAATAGAAGAAATTCAAGGCTGGGATTTTGGCGCCGATCTGCAAAATCCAGGAGAGCTTTGGTTGATACAGTAAGGAGGTCAGAGTATTGTAATAATGTCTGGCGTACTGTAAGTCGAAATCTTCTATCGTGGATACCTACTGGCTTGTGCCTGGAGTTTTTACCCAGTTGGATTTTCTCCGTCAACATTTTGTTGCGTTTTTATTGCTTTCTGTTGTTTTGATTTCAACCGGCAATTCAACTTAGGTAGCTAAATTATGTGAATGAATCTGGACAAAGCGTAATTTATGTGACATATTGCATAAGTTAATTAAATTGTTAAATTTCGCATAAACCCCTATTCCCCCCCCCCCCCCTCTAGATATTGTTTGGGTTGAACTATAGACTTTTCACATACATAAACTAAAATCACAAAAGCATCATCTATTTTCCTGAATTTAATAATAGATTACTGAAAGGTATAAAATTATGTATTCTTTTGGTGGTCTTCATTTTTTTTCTTTTTTCCTGAAAAAATATTGTTTTGAGGAGTGAATGGAGAATTTATAATAAAAAAAAAGAAAAAGTTTAGCTTTTACGTGTAGAATATTTTGTAATTTGAATATATAGTTGAAATTGAATATATAGAAAGAAGAATTTTAAAAGAATGAAAAATAAACAAGGCTTCATTTTGCAAATCATATCCTCATTAATTGACACAACCCGTCCCGAATCACCCTAATGGACCCAAAACGTGACGTGCGTCGATGATAGATGCTGACTAGATGTCAAATATATCACCAAGGTTGACTATGAGTTATTTAAAAAAATGCAACAAAATCAAATGTTTATGTAAAACATAATGCGATAGGCCCAAAATATTTACTTCGTGCTTCACTAATATGAGTTATAACACTCAACATGTCGTATGACTTTCAATTCGAAATCATTAGACTCTTCTAGCTAAAAACATCAATTATTACCTGTAGGAAAAAATATGGAATCTGAAACAGGCTGATAACTCAGTGAGTGGAGAAGTTCAAAATAATTATAGTTTTTCAATTTTACATGTTTATCGAAAATCGAGTTAATATCATT